TACTGAATGCTGATTGGTTTGGATCAAATAGAATTGTTGCCCGTAAAGTTACACATGTCAAGAGAATTCAGTAGTTTGACCTTATCACTGATGGAAATCTGGAGAGGATTTAGTTAGAAAATTTGGTGACTGTTCATTGGTCTACACTCGGACGTGCCACGGTCAGTTGTTTGGATTAAAGCCTGGGAAATTCCGGACAAGGGATTGGGACGTTTCACTGCCGTATTAATCTGACCTTTACGAATAAGTACTTGGGTAAATATGGGCGAAGATGTCGCATAAATCAGTTGTTTGTCGACATCAATTAACCGTGACCGCTAGATAAATGGCGGCAGGGTAGCACGACTAGACCGACATAACCACTTGTACACCCACTATCCACAAAACTCTCACACGATTGGATTATATTCAAATGATTGGGCTATTTGTTTGAAGTCAATGAATATTTTGAAGGATTAGAAGCCCTTGAATTTTTCGTGGAACTTTTAAGCAGCAGTTATTTTTAAATTTAACAACAAATTAATAAATTGGGATCTTACATTATTTTATATTACCGTTGTAACGATGTAAACAAAATAAATGAGCCAATTACGCTGCAGAAATCAGTTAAATTGGTTACAATAATTAGGCATTATTGATTTTTTTACATCGGCTGGAAAAAAATTTTGATATATTATGCAGCTTAAGACAGTTATGAGAATGCCATTTTAAATTTTGGCGAAATTTGATTGGCTAGTTGAATGGCAACAAGTAGGTGTTTTTTTACCACAGTAGGTATACCTGGAGCGTCTTCTGCTAAAAAAAAGCTTCCAACAAAAAAAAACAAACACAGCTTGATGCCAATGTGCACCCAATGCAGTTCGACCTTGAAACAATTTTTCGTTCCCACCATCAATCGTCCAATCGCTGTCACCGAAATTGAAAGCGTGTCGAATATATTTGAAAGGCTCCGTCACAAGTCACACTGCGTACCACACAACGAAAATGTCCGCGTAAGTTGTCGCTGTGAGGTGCAGAATTTTCTTAAAATTTTACCTAAAAATGGTTTACAACCTGAGTAGATATCGAAAAATTTACATATGGATATAACAGCTACTGCCAGGACAAGAATATATTACTTATACTTGGGAAGTTACGTTTGGTTAGTCGAACGGCCGCGTTACAAGAAAGTAATTTTGGTTTTATCTCCCAGAAATGTACTCCGATTTAACCTCAACGAACCTTAATGAGTATATCCTGCTCACGTTGTCTCAGTACCACGTCAACCGACTTTCAGATGTTGATAAACAGAAAAACTAAGCCAGTTCTTGCCTAAGATCATCATCAATAGTGGATCTTAGATCCACACTTAAACTGTTGTAGTCCGATTGGACACTGAATACACAGAGACCAATGAGAAAGTGACGGAGACGCGGTCGCTTATTGGTTAGTTGAGTTTTAAAGCTCTGAGCAGGGGGTCTTTACGCGTTTCTATTGGTCGAGCGTGTGTACAGCAAGGTAGATAATTCACAGAGGACTTGCAGTGTTTACGTAAGCTTGCAGGAGTGATCTAGGATAGATTTATGGGCCCTTCGACGGTGTACACAGAGGGGGCGTCTACTGGTTAGCCGTGAGTGTGCCGGTCTGAGTAAACATTACCAATCGATCAATACACAGTCCTCCGTTGTCCATTTCAAATTCTGGCTGATTACCAGATGCTCCAGATTTTAGGTAATTATCCACGCTGCAGCTGGTAGTCAACAGCAACGGGATTTAGGAGATTGCTGGGGGAGGGGTAGGGTGTGGAGTAACTGAACAGGCCATTAAAAACTGCCAGTACTTTAAGGGGCTAAGTAAGCTAGGGTCAACGATGCGTGTGGGCAAATTATTTTCAACGTTATGCTTTTGGTTCCCACCGCTGGACACCCACAAACACCACTTAACACCTCATAAATGCGTCTTATAAAACTGCATATTTCGCATGTTCTATTAGGTGCGTGCCTTAAATCTTTGAGTATTTATGAAAAAAATTAATTTTGGAAATATTGTCCATCGTTTTCTGCCATCCGGTGCAATTTCTGCAGCAGCACACGAATTCCGTTGCGGAAAAATATCGAGGCAACAAAGCCAGCGGAAAATTTACCCACATCGTCTAGAATTTTGAAATGCTTATCCACTAAGGCATGCTGTTGCATTGACCGGAACAAACGACAGTGGGACGAGGCCAAGTCTGGTGAATTTGCCACGTGTGGGAGAACTTCCCAATCCAAGTTCAAGAGGGTCGTATGTGTCGCGCAAGCAACTTGAGGTTGAGCGTTGTCATCCAGCAGTATGACTTGCCTGCTTACTTCTTCGGTGTCTGGCCTTTTCTGATCAAGTTTTTCGCTTAGTTTGTTCAGTTGTCGGCCGTAGCGTTCTGCAGTCACCGTCTGAGCAGTTTCCAGAAGTTTATAATAAAATACACTTCATATTCCATGAGATACACAGTGAAACCTTCCTCAAGTGGGTGTTCTGTCTACGTTTTTGCATTTTCTCTTTTTGGAAGCGTAAACGTTTAAACATGGCTCTCTGGGTGACTCCTAACTGAGCTGCAAGCTCTTGTTGCGTTTGCGTTGAGTTTTCATCCAGTAGAGCTTGCAAGCCCGCGTTTTCAAATTGTCGAGGCTGCACGCGTCGCGATTGGTCACCAAGATCGAAATCGCCGTTTCGATAACGTTTGCACCAATATTTACAGGTTGATAAGGCACAATGTCGGAAGCACCATGAACACCACAAATTGATTCTCGTGCCTTTAAAGCACTTTTTCTTGTTGGAATTCGCATAAAATCCAGTTCTAAACGAGCTATTTATCAGTTGCAACCATTAACTCCGCTATTCCGAGATTTTTTTTGGCTCACGTAGACCTGTCATTAGATGTTCTAAAACCTTCCGCCCGATCCATTTAAAACCACAAAATACCCTCAAATATTTTAATTTGAAAAAAAATTATAAGTTGTCTTGAAGACAAAGTCCGTACAAATAGGGACTCAAATCTATTATTTTTTCCAAAAAAGTTGTTTTTTTTTTGCACAAGTGGGGAGTGTTACTTTGATCAAAACTGGTGTGAGCACTTAAAATGTGTTTCCTTGATAAAATGTCAATTTATGCGTGCTTTTATTCATTTATTGTCGCGTTTTTATTATTTAGCAGCGATGCCTGATATAAATCACTTTCGTAAGTATTTGCCACAAAAACCTTTTGTTCGAACATCGATAGTGGCGTCACGAAGTGAATTATGCCATTAGTTCTCCCAATTGTTACCAGATTAAATGCAGTGGTTATTAATGCCCCAACGAGATAATCTGAAGCAAATTCGCTGATTTGATTGGTGTACGCACACTGAGCGGTCAGTTAAAAGTGCTGCTTGCGTAATTGCCGCGCGCACTGCAGAGAATTCGGCACACGAGGGATCACATGCGGCCAGGTCTTGTTTAAATCAATGTTTTGATTTTGAGTATAACCACTCACACACATAAACAATGTAAGTTATTGGTTGAGAGTTTGCGCTCAATTTGACTTTGTGTACATTTTCATTGATTAGTTTTATGCACCTAATTGCTAGGCTTACAAAATTTGCTATGAGGCACGTTTAATCAAAAAGCTGGATTGTAATTCTATAATGATACTTATGAATTTTTCTACCGAAAATATTTAAATTTATGCCGCGTTGATGGGTTTTTCCACTTTCTCATATATTTTTGTGTAATAATGTAAAATTGTAAGACGGGAGATATTCACTTGTGTTGTCGTCTTGTTTGTATGGATTGCAGATTTATGAACTTTTGCATGTGTTACTATTTTGATATCTGAAAGCGTTGGGAGTCAAGGTAACCCTTAAAATGCGGATGCTATAATCAACTTGAATTTAAAGTTATTATCCGCAATGCGAAGCGACATTTGCATCTTTGTGAATTTGAAATTTGTAGTTAAAACTTCATGCTCTTGAGACAATTTACTATGGGCAAAAATACGCTGTCTGCGGTCATTCTGACAATAATTCTGACTTTCTGTGCTGATACAGCAAATCTGGCTATTGGCGGCAGCTTGAAACTATGTGAATTGGTTTTGCACGTTATGACATTTTTCTACTTTTCCGCCACCAAAATAAACCCTAATTTTGGACAAAGTCATACCTCATAACCAAAATAATTGCTTAAGTGTTACAGCATACTATAAAACGATGTTTGGAGTAGGACAAAAAACAATCCTTTATAATTGCTTAGGCCGAATTTCTGCACCCACTGAAAGCGTTTTTATGTGTCTGGCATAGATTATTACCAAGAATATCTAGTTTACGAGATTCCTTTTCGTAATACCGTAGAGATAATCCTCAAAGTCCATTTAAAATCCCCCTTACCTTAAAAACAACCTCGTTCACCATAACAACGGACACTGCAAACCGTAAAATGGTGATCATGCCAGCATAAACCACAATTTTTCTTGACCATGCTCCTCTAGATTTCCAGAAACGAAGATGGCAGGAGGTAGAGTGTATACAATTACGCTTCAATTTTTTTTCCGGCTGTAAATATTTTTTTATATAAAAACAATTAAATATCATAACACATATATGGATCGTTGACACTCCTGGATTCTGCTCTCCTCACAATGCGAGTCATCTAAACTCAGACACTTAGAATTTTCACCTGACGTCAGTGGTTGGTTGTTAAATAACTTTGGTAACATTCTTGCTTCTTCACCCAATTGACCTATGGTGGTACATAGACATCTAGAATTTTCTTTATTTTGCATCGATCGCTGCAACTGGATTAGAAATCTCTTTGACTGTCTAAAAATCCATTTCTTTCAATCGCCATTCGTTTTGACATTCAACAACTTGCCGTAATTTGGTAAACAGGTACACTAAACACAACCAATTTTGTGTAGCAGGATAGGGCAGAAAATAAGGCCGCGTGTATTGACGTAAAATTACAAAAAAACAGAACAACTTGCTTTCATTTCGTTTGATTGCTTACAGGAATATGCTAAATTGCACCAAATGCATGCAACCCATTGGGATTGCGGAGCCGGTTGTGGCTCTGAATAAGCGTTGGCACCCAAAGTGCTTTGTCTGCACCAACTGCCAGTGCAATTTGGTGGACAAGAATTTCAGTTCCAAAACAAACGCCCCCTACTGCGAGGCCTGCTTTTCAGAAAAACACCAGCCGCAGTGTGATGTGAGTCCACTTTCGTTTGTTTAACCCAAGGAAATCATGCAAATTTTCTGGCGGGCTTAGAAATCACAAACTATTGACCCGTTTAAACAAACCCAAGGTCATCCAGTCGCAAAACGACCCCATTTGGTTATTTAAATTCCTTTGTTTTGAAGTTTACTTTGTTTATTTGTAGTTTCATGGTTTCGACAATTACAAATTTGTCATCAATTTCCCATTTCTAATTTAAGTGCACATTAAGTTAACAACTATTTTAAATGTCGAAGTCATTCAATTGATCTAAACAAAAGGCTTTCTGAATTTAGACGAATTCATGTTTAAGGAAATATTAGGTGAGTAGTAAGGCTTAAGTCGCCATTGTTTATATTTGATTGGTTACTACGACCACATGGTCGTTTTTCATTGGGTGGAAGACAGTGCCGCAAGCTAGATGCATTCTTACAAAGTTAATGCACTGTTTAAACTTGATTTACGCCAAGCGCTCAACCACAAAAATTGCAGTTCAAAGCACATATTTTGATAATTTTAAATTTCCTGACTTAACTTCTGACTGATATGTCAATTTCTCCTGTAGAAATGTGCCGGTCCAATCGAGAGCGACCAAAAGTACGCGGTGATTGGCGGAAAAAACTATCATTCTACGTGCTTTGTCTGCGAGGTCTGTCAGAAGTCGCTATATGGCGGCAAATACGCAAAAAAGAACGACAAAATTACCTGTCTGGCGCACCGTTAGCGTGATGGCGATTTAATTACAGTAATAAGACACAACTGAAATATTTTCACGACGAAGATTTTGTCCATATTATTGTTATTATTAATGACCTCTTGAAATATGACATTTAATAATGCTAAAGGTGCATTATTATAGCTTCAGGAGTGCCTTGTTGTAGCACGTTGACAAAAATAATCGGGCCAATCAATGAGCTGTCTTTTGTGGTGGGTTTATCAAACATACCAATACAAAATGACCTTTCGCATTCTCTTCGAAAATTAGCGGGTGTTTTGGTTCTGACATTTCTGGAGATGTAGAGTTTATTATATCATTAACTAAATGGTCGTTAAATGTCAAAACTTACAAGTATTATCTGAAAAATTAGTCAATCGTTTCGAGCAATTACTTTTTAATGACAAAATAAATTATAATATTGTCGTTTACAGAGCAGTAGTTGCAAAATGATAGCCGTGTGGAGAAGGTGTTTTATAGATTCAAAAATGTCAATTAGTGGCTATTTTCTGAAATGTTTTCGAGATTGGCATTTAGTAGGAAGCATGTTTATACCATAAAAAGCTCTTAATCATTAGTTTTGTCATTAGCGCTGACGTTAACTAATGTCTTGTTGCCATATTGCGAACACTTATGACCTTGCCACACGTCTCTTCGAATCTAACACATTAAAACAAACGCGTTGTTAAAAAAAATGCACAATTAGGCGCAATCAATTTTAATAAAGGCTTTTGGGTATCTCGCCACTAAGAAACTGATTTCGGATTGGTGTTAAGTATGGAAAAAATTAGGATGAATTTCGAAGGGACGATGTCATTTTTCTTTAGCTAACTTTTCGAACAAAAGGGTAGGAAAGAGTGTTCGTAGGATCATATTTATCTTAATTACTTTAGCCAATAGGGAATATACGAACAGAAATAGTAATTTTCGTACCTCACAATCGGAAACAGTGTCCTTACCAAAAATTAGCCATCGCAAGAAAAAGTAGATCATAATTGCAATAGGATATTAATTTAACCAATTAAAATAACCACCGAAATTTATAATTCAATCTACTTCGCAATATAAATGTCAGCAGAGCATATTTTAGGCCAAAAATGCAACGGTTTGGCTACAATGTAGTCTTTGGATGCACGTCCAATTCCCACACCATGCAATTCTGTTTAGAAGTTACGAGTGCAGATGCCTTTGTGTAAATCACACAGTTTTTATAAATATCCAAATTTTTCCCACAAGGTTTTAAAAATCTTGACTTTTTCTTTTTAAACTTGCATTTTAGCAAATTTTTGATATTCTCTAACCAGGAAACAGTACATATTTAATTCATTGTGCAAGATTTCATTTAAGAACAACAGAATTTCCATTGTAAAAAAGACCATCTGTCAACCTCAGGATCAATTTCTTGTTATCGAATACACCAAACGTTGCAGCTACACACATTTCATAATGACTGCATTCAAAAACGTCATATTTAACGTTGGGATAATGCACGTTTTCGTTTTACAGTTTTTAAATTCAAAAGTGGTTCCCGCAAATAATCTCTATTAAAACAACAGATACGTCAAGGTCAAAAAGACAAATTTTGCAAGAACTTCGTTATTTTGCTAAATAAATAAATTCTGGGCATTTAAATGCTACATTTAACAGCGTTTTTTATGACAGATTAAATTGCATTCGCGAATGTCATACGGCGTGACAGATCTTTAAATCAGCGTTAGGGTGCTCACATCAAAAGTGCGTTGGACTTTTGCATCACTAAATTGTAAATTTCAAAGTGTTTAAAATTGTCAACAACACTGAAGAAATTTACGAGTTTTAACAATTCAAAAAATCATTTTTTAATGACACATATAAACACAATGCACAGCCTTATCAAACCATGTAATGTTGCTTAAAATCCACCATGATTTAAGTTGTCAAGTAATTTTAAGGTGAAATTAACTTCCACAGAAGTTTAACACAACGAGGATTTGGTCGACAATGAAACAGTTTCCGGCAAGTAAAAATGCATTCATCAAATTTCTGCAATGGTTTAATGCTACAAAATATTTCCCTGTCAGTACGTTGTCATCAGACTTCAAATTTCAGGATAATCTTGAAGGGAAACCAAGAATTTTCACATGTCACACCACAGAATGCTGCCCATGTGCCTGAATGCGGAAAAAAATACAGAATTTGAGAATTTTTTTTATAGAAAACAAGACATTTGTACAAAAGGAATACGCTGTTGCCAGTGGTGATTGACAATCGCTACATTGTTTAAGAGAGCAGTTTATTCTGCTGTCCAATGTAATACCAATATAGGCGCCACTTTTCTCACCGACATTGCAATTTTCTTTCACGTGCCAGCAAAAATCGAGTGAAATAGTTTCACAAAAGTGCATCAATCCATCATTCGCCATTTGACAACGCCCGCAATCACACCGGAGCCCAAGTTGCGTGTCTTTTTTGCCGCCAACTTACATGCAATTCCTTCCTGCTGGGTACGCTGGCATTCTTCTGGACAATTTTCTTCGTGACACTGGAATTAGTATCTCCAGAACGTTCAAGACTCCTGTCGTCCATTGCACATTACTTCCACTTCATACTAACAACACTAATTAGACTTGAAGCGGGTCAAGGCCATCCACCTAAGCTGTTCCTTGTGACCTCTCACCTTGACCTTTGGCGATGAAAGTAGGGATTCTTCAAACGAAACGCTGACTTAGTCCACTATTGTCGAAGATGGAGCTGGATTTGAATAAGAGACTCTTGTTTGAAATCCCAGAGCGTGTGACCTTTAAGGTTGGAGCGATCTGGTGACGGGGTTATTACGCAAATTTATAAATTTTGTGATAGAAGAGAGGAATGTGGGGTCTACGCGAATTTTCGACAAACGTTAATGGTTGTAAGGGATATAAAAACTCGGATTAAGGGTTTTTTGAACCTAAAAGTAATGATTTTCTGAGACGAAATTGCTCGTCTTTTCAAGGGGACGTAGGTTACAGCCAATCGTGTTCTACTGAATGTCATAAGAAGACAATATTGATATCAAATGATAACAAATTAAAATAAATTGATTACAGAAATCTCTGGAGTCCTTGTAGACCACTCTAAGGCTTATTTAATTGGTTGTTCTTGCAGAAATCACTCTATTACTACTCAGTGGCATCAAACTTGATTGATTAAAATTTTTACTACCGAATCGTTGTGATTGGTAGCTTTATCGGCCAACCTTTTGTCCACGTTTGGCTTCGAACAAGTCTTGCACGGGTTCATACACTTCCAACTCTTACACCTACACCTGCTGCCTTTACAGAGTCGATATCTTGAGATGTGGGATCACTCCAGGTCGTAATGACACGACGCGTTCAAGTTAGGAAAAAGGTACACTGGTGAATCGCCTACCTTTTGTGTCATAAAGTAGAGACGTCTTTCCAGGTGAACGTCGTTGGTGGTTATAAGTGCATTTTTTAAATTGACTTTTTAAAGTAACAAATAAATGACGCTTTTTAAAGGTAAGTCCGTTTTTCGCTGTCACCTGAATCGAATTCATTAGTACAGTATTGAAACCAAGTGGACGCGATTCGATGTACTAAGAGCAGATGCAAGCGTCTCTCGAAAACCAAGAAGGGTTTGACGGGATATGCCAGTGTTGGGGATCCACGATACCCCAAGATTGCTCGCCGTTGGTTTCTGGAACTATTTACATTAATTCACTAACATTTGTTTTATTGCGCTTATTATTAGGTCAAGGTCAACCTTGGCGGCAATTAGTTTACTTTTGACGACTCACTCCTCACGTGGCTGATGTGATTAAATCTCTCTACACGAGCTCTGGTCTTGTTCATGTATTAGCGTGGGAAGGTTGGTGCTAACGTCAACGAGGGATCTAGTACCGCTATTTGAGTGGTTTTCTCTTTATTACGGGCAAACGTAACAACCAGAAATGTGCTTTTAGGTATCGGTTAAAATTACTAAAAGAAAATTTTCCACAAAACGAGTTGTTCGTGTAATTCTCGTTTTAGAACTTAAGAATCATACTTATGGCCGCAAACATTTACACAAGCCATTGAGCCAGCGAAATTGCAGTTCTATTAATGGTGAGGAAGTTGTACACAGCACAGCTGTCCCTAAGTGCTTAAACATTTAAATTTTGCAGAACAATACCTGGCTTGGTAAAACTACCATTTTATGGTTTTTGGTCACGTGGTGTTTAAAATAACGCCTAATTTTCAAAATTAAATTTGAATGTGAATACCAAATGAAGTGCAGTTAAGTGATGTGCGCGCATTCCTCGCTGTTAGGAAATCTTGTGGCTTCTGAGGTAACATTTATACCTAAATGTGACAATTTGCGTAAAAAATACAAAGAAAACAATTACTTTTACAAAAACAGTTGATATAAAACTTTCAAACACTTGTATTTCAGGATATTTAAGGGTCCAAAGTGTGTTCAGACAAGGTTGACGAGTCTTGGCGTCACAGACATTCGACACAGTAGAATTCGCCAGACTTTGTACAAAACTGCTTGTCAGACAATGGCAGGTTGCATTTAGCACACAGAAGGCATTCCTGATGGGAAAATTCGTCTCTAAAACAGACAAATGGCGTTCCCACGTCTATCGTTCCATTGCACCTCTAAACGGAGAGAGTAAAGGCAATTTTAAAACCCATTTTAATAATCACAGATGTATTTTTTAAATTTATCAACTTTTGAATTGTAATTTCTGGTTGGTCATAGCCTAATCTTGACATTTAGTTTTTGTGGATTCAAGCAAAATCATAAATGAAAATTGATATTTGGTCTGAGGTAGATTTTAGTCAGTTATTTGAAAAAAAACCTGTGTTTAGTATTGCAAAAAATATGCATAGTTTTATTTACCAGCTGTAATTAGCTAGGAAATATTTTGTAACACTATTCAGTCTAATATCTATGACCATGAGTGCTTTTAAAAAATTATATTTAATACAATTTTTGTGAGTTTACAATATAGACAGAAGGTTCAGTAAAAAATCTGCAAATTAATTGGACAACTCTATCGAAAACCAATAGCAGTGTTCTAGCAGGCAGCTTAATGATTTCGGTCATTCCTAGTTGCAGCGAAAATTGGATTAGAATTTGATGCATTTTTGGCCAATAAAAATGTATGTAGGTTTGTAGCATTCCAACCATCTTTGCACTTGCGTTAGCCAGCCGAAATGGTAATCATGCAATTCGAATGAGTAGAAGTTGATGCGAACAGGTTTGCAGCAATTTGATTGGTGCATTGGCCGCACTAATCTGTTGTGAGTCGTGTTTATTCACACCTCTTAATCCGGTTGCTCCAGCCTAGGACACAGGATCCTAGTACGATCCTGATCCTACCCAATCAGAGTCAAGCTTGGTTTTTTAATTTGTACAAGGCATTTAAATGTGAGAGAGAAATTAATAAGTCCGAAGCAATTTGTCAGTGGTGCAAACTATCCTTTTGTTTTACTGTACTGGCTCTAGTAGAACACTGTTCAAATCATCCACTAGCAAGAGCTTAAGCGCTAGTTTTAAAAATTTTGGATTGTCACGAAGGCTTTTTAATTCCGGCGAATCAGTCCGTCAGTGGGTTCTACCTGAGGATTTCAAGATTGTGCAGTCAACATTAAGCGCTCTGAAACGTAAGTCAGAGAAATGTCAGACTTACAAAACACTTTGGCTGAAAGGTTGCAGTCCAACAGCCCGCGCAAAAGGCCTTGTCATCGCGTTCGTGGAAGGACGTGTTCTCCAGCGGCATGTCGCATTTCTGGCACACAAAGCACAGACGGTGCCACTTCCTGTCAAGAGCTGTTAGAACACTTTCAGCAGTGATTGCCCGCTGGCATTTAGCGCAAACAGGTGCTGTTGACATCTTTTGGAAAACGCTAAAAATGCACACATTACTGTGACAATTCTTTGTTTTAATTGCTCAAAGAAGTAAATACTGACAGGGCCAAATTAGTGCTAGTTGACGTGATTAACTGCACACAAAACTGGAAAGAACCACGAAGAACCATGGAGTTTGCGTTGTAGTGAGTGTGTTTAAATTCAGAGTGAATTCCAAGTGATTTTTAAGCAGAAAAAACCTGTTAATCAAACAACTGGTTCTCATGGCAACGCCCGTGACCAAAATCAATGCACAAAGAAGTGTCTGGTTGCTAAGTGATTGTAATTTAACCACTCTATCGAAGTTTTTGTCGCATGTACAGTGTTATTGATCCAACGAACTCATATTTCCAGATTATATCTTTAGAAACTCCTAAATGACGTGGCTAAAATATCTTTTAAAAAATTCGCTGTCGTTATGCCGCAATACAACTCCCATGTCCTAGTTAAAAGACATTTGCATTTAAATTATATCTTCAATGTGTAACCAATGTAAATAGAACAAAACCTTCCCTCAAAAATACTAGAAATAAGCGAGAAAATGTGTTTTTAATTCTAGTAAATAGCAACCGGTCACTTAAATTGACCTCCGTAAAAATAAGGAAGTCAGCATTTGATAAAATGTGAACACAATAAAAAGGTCAGTGAAAATGTATTGCTTGAACTAATTGACGCATGGTGATAAAGTTTAAAAACTT